GGGCTATATTTGGGGTGGCGTGTTTTACAGCGCTTTGCCAACAGCGCCAACCCACTGAAGTCTAGATTGCGAGGGTTGTGGGGGGCGGCTTGTTTTACAACGTCGTTGCCAAGCGACGAAAACCCAACCCCGATGGCAAACACCAGGGGTGGGGGGGGAGGGGGTATTGGTATGATGCTGCTGTATGCTCTTGGTCCTTCGAGCCGCATTTGGTGTTTCTCGAAAAGGATGGGCGCTGTCGTTCTTTTTTATGTCCAAACGCTCGGCGACCTATTCAGTGATTTTTCACGTTCGGGAAACAAGCAAGAGATAACTGTTCGCGTGGAACAGCTTAGTTTGGACTTTTTTTTTTTTTTAAGACACCTTCGCTCAGCTTTCATCTCGCGTGTACACACAAGTATTGGAATAATTCTAGCTGCATTGCACATTGTGGGTATCCCTCCTACACCGTGAGGTTGGGCATATCCCCGACGCTGCTAGTGTGGATTGCCATGATTCATGCCGCTCAAAACCGGACCGTCCCGAAGATGCGGCTAGTTTTATCGCCGTTTTCCTGTGGTTTGCTGACTCGTCCCACGCAGTCAAGTACAACGAGCTCTTGACCGTGCTGTGGGACAAGATCGACCCGACAACTCTCAACCGGCAAGGGAACGACTCGGGGACTCAGTACCGATCAGGGTGAGAGAGAACTTCAAGTACCACGTTGTTTTTCAAAATTAGATTGGAATAGAGAGGAAGAAAGTGGGGAGCGAGACAGGGAGGAAGGGGGGGAGGGAGGGAGAGAATGTACACTTTTATCTCCCACCAGGTGTGTGCTGTTTTTCTTCCTTTTGCCTCGCCGTTTGTCAACCGGGCAAGGTAGGGAGAGGTTTGTCCGTCCCTTTCTCTGTAGCAGCGTGTTGTGCTGCTGCGGTTGCTGCTGCTTCGTGTTGCCTGTTGCGGATTGTCCTGAGAACTCCAGAACTCACTTGTACATGCCCTTGATGACACCCTAATTCATCGCCTCTTTCAACGCCCATCCTTCCGTGCCCCCTGCCGTCCTTCTTTCTCGCCTAGGATCTACTACACCTCCTCACAGCAAAAAGAAATCGCGCTCGCGTCGAAGGCAGCGGAGCAAGCGAAGCTCGACAAGTGAGTCTTCGTATTTCCGTTTCACGACGCTCGCATTAACTCTGTCCTCGAAGACAAGTACATGGGTCTTTTGCCATCTGCTGGGCCTGTCTGTCTTACTTTGCTTGCCAACGGCACGACCCCCGTGTTCTACAACGATTGGCGAAGCGGTTCGCATATTGCAACGGTACCAGTTCACACTGTTTTTCCGGCTGCTATTTCATATACGTATTCCGTGAACAGGTCGTGTGACGACGATGCCACCCGTGTCTAAGCTTCTTCCGAAATCCCCGATGACGACAATTTGTGAGCAGACCGATCGTGACGGAGATCAAAGAAGCCACGGAGTTCTACCGCGCAGAGGACTACCATCAGAAAGTACGTCGGAAGCAATCGCAATGGCTTGGTTGCCTCAAACGATGTTCGTATCTTTTCTTGTACACGTTTTCGCTAGGAGTTTACGCCATCTTGTCATGTCCCCAAGCCCTTTCCCTACGCACGATTTCACTTGCACACGGATGCTTCGAGCACAAGCATGAGCGGAATCTGCTGCTCCGCCAGTGCAACACCCCAAAACCAACAAAGAATCTGGCAAGAGCCAAATAGCGTAAGCTTACGCCTCACATCGTCCTGCTCCCGTTCCCCTGGTTGCTTTGCTTGCCTCACCAGTACCTGGAAAAGGGCGGACAGTGCTCGTTGAAGGGAGACACGAGCAACATACGCTGCTACGGCTAGGTCTTGGTGGTTTGGTTCGTCCTTAGGTAGAAGGCGCCAGCTTTGTGCCTAGGGTCTAGGTCGTAGGTACACACAACGTACATCGAGGGAAATGCACTGCTTTCCTGCTGTTTTGGCGTTGGAAACTTGATCGCAGGCACCGCAGGTGGAAATTTGGCGTATTCCTCTCGAGTGCCCCCAGCTGGTGCATAAAACAAATGCCCAAGGTGTACGCTGGCGCCCAGAATCGTAGATGGGACATGAACAAAGAAATGTATGTATGCGTTTTGTGTTGCACACACCGTGAGGGACGGTGGGCGTAGGTGGCACCTAGACGTGGGGTGTGCATAGGGGCTAGTACTCCTGTACAATTGTTTCCCGGCTGCCGTAGATGATGTCTCGCTGTAATTGACTTGGGACACCGCGTAGCGCACACAGAGTGTCAAGGGGTGCCAGAAATGACAGCAGCTTATGCGCTGCCGTGAGTGGTTCGACTGGCGTGGTAGGTTGTGACGGGCACGAGTTGCCCTTTATTTTGAGGGTGTCCCTGTGTTGGTATCGGGGTAAAGACTTACATATTAATATATATTTTTTTCGTCCCATCTTTGGCGCCGCCTGCTTACTCCTCTTCGGTGCACACTACACGTTTTGCCGCGTATGTGCACTGACACTTCTCAGCGTACTTGGTACTCTACAACTAGCTAGACGCACCGTCCGGGGTCAAACAGGAGGGGGTACCCACACCGTTTTTTTTTCTCCTTCATCTTTTATCCCCACCTACCTCCTGCGGTGCTTGCCTGATGCATTTTTACTGATATAGTCTATATACTTTTTTCTCCCATCATTTGACACTGCTGAAGTCTGCCCCTCTGGCCCCTATCCTCCACTTTTACCAGCTAGACGACCCAACCGGGGTCACATAGGAGGGGGGGTTGGACCCCCTCCTGCGGTTCTGTAGAAGCACGATCATGATGTCTACGATACACGCCAATCAAGGTGGTGTTTAGCTGGTAATTTGTCCAAGTGCGGTTCGACATGGGCCAACAGCTGTACGTTGCTCCGGTGGTACGAGCGAGCCACCCCTCCAAAGGGCAACACCCAACAGCTCGAACGGGAACAGCAAACTGGCTACCTACATAATCGACTTCGTGAGTCGCGAGGGAAGGGATTGCTGTACCCTTCTCGCGATAAAAATATCTCAGGCAGGAACCGCAGGAGGGGGTCCAGCCCCCCCCTCCTATGTGANAAAAATACACGGAGGTTTCGTGCCTTTCGCCGGCACGGCAACAGTCGGGGATATCGGCTTGAAAGCTTGAAAGCTTGAAAGCTTGAAAAGTCAGAGAGGATTCATTCGTAGACCAATGAAGGGCCTCCCGGGTCTCCATGAACAGCTGCACCACTTCGGCAAGGATGACACGCCCACATGCACACCACACATGCACAAGTCAGGCGCACACGGGCGCTCTCTACATCTACATTTGGCGTGGTATTGCCAATGTGCGCTGGCTCTGGGCTCTCATATATGGACACTCGTGACCTATAGACCTGTACCATGCCTTGTGCTTGTGCGGGGCCCCTCAACGGAGCGGAGCATATGCCATCATTCTGCACAGCACAGAGCACTGCAGCGGTGTGCTCGTGTTCCGCGCGCAGGTCAAACACCATGCTTCGTCTGGGCCAGTTCACTTCGAGGGTGACTCGGGGGGTGGCTGCTGCCTGTCGCAACAATGCATTGCTGCCGTGTTCAGCAGGTCAGCAGCAACATGGCGTGTCGATGCTCAGAGCGTTGGCCGCTACTGAGCACTCCAAGGCCAACAGCTCTGAACACAACAAGACCTGCACCACCTCTAGTGGTGAACAGCGGATCAGGGCTTACGCCAGCAGGAGGAGACTGATCGCATGGCCCGCTGCGCATCTACCGGGTGCGGGGTTTGGTGGTGCAAAATCAAAGCGACTCATGTCCACCGCGGCTGGAACTGGGCACAATGGAGACGTTGCGAGGACCGCAGACCTTGGCCCCGATGCTATGGCGGGCAGTGCGGATGCCGCGATGGCTGCGGCCGGCACTGCAGAGCAGGTGCGACACGGTTTTACCTTCTCCCGTGACTTCGTTGAGTAACTTCGAAACCTTCAACACCGCAACACGTAAGGCTGCAGGGACGCAGGACAACGCTGTCTCTCAAGTGCGTACCTTGACTACTGCTGTTGGTGACACAAGATACCACACCCCTTGGACCGATTTTTAAAGCTCGGTTACTCCACAGCCGAAGAGTGGCGCCGTGGACAATGGCGGCATTGCAACCGCCGTGTCATCGATATCGTTCCGAAATCGGATCATTTGATATTGGCACCCTCTTCGTCGTGTAGTCTATGTAGCGTTGACAATCGGTCCAGGGGGTGTGCTATCTTGTGTCACCTACCGTGTATACCACGGTTTGCTTTACCGCTGTGAAGGTATAGTCTAGTAGACAGCAAAAATGTATAGCTTCCCTCCACAGCAGTCTACACGTTCGCAAGAAATCAGCTTCCCTCCTCAGCAGCCTGTACCTTCGTTATAAACCTGTCCCTACACGATGTCCGGCTATAGAGCAATAGGAGAATCTGCTGTTGAGCCGGAGAACATGCGACGATGTACACGGCTGTCCATTCCCAGCAACGGATGGTTCCGACGAGTGTCTGACTTTAATTGGCATATCATGGATGTTCACGACTACCCAGGCAAGAGGTGAAGACATGCTTACAACAGCAGTGCCTGGGGGCCCCTAAGGTTACCAATGGCAACGGGAGGCTTGGAACTCCGAGCACATTCTACTGCTGTACCACACACGATATCACAAGCGTGTTGCAGCCCATCGTTGAACGCAACGATTTTTTTGTCGTTACACACTTTCGAACTGCGGCTCCAGATTTTCCGTTTTTTGCCGGAAGCAGATTTTGAGATGAGAAAATTTCCTGGAAACTTCCTGCTGGCAAATATTTTCAGATTTCAGCTGCTTCATGTTGGTGGCTGTGGGTCAACAGTCCTCCTACGAACTTGTCTGCAGGTACTGTTTTTTTTTGTCGTGGTGCGCTGCGTGACAGCTAGCTGAGCACCTTGATGACACAAGGCTCTCACTGCTGCTGTTGAGTGTGCATGCATACGTGTTTATGTCCGCGTCTGCGTCGCTCCCCCAACCCCAGCACGCGAAATCGCACCACACCAGTACGGAGACATGAAGTGATGACAGTACACTGGCCGACAGCCTCCGAACGAAGTGCTATGTCGCGTTTATCGCGTTCAGGAGAGAGACGGGGGTTTAGGAGGCGGGGGCACATCCAATTCAAACGCCCTTTCTAGTAGAAACCAGAGAGAATACTGTTGCGCGCGGAAGGACGAGCCCGTCTTTACCAGGAGGCCACTACGTGCTCTTCCTCCTCTCTGCTCTTCTTTGCGTGCGATGGTGCCACCACCTCTACGTTAGTTCGCTCTTCTTCCCCCTTGCCTCATTCTGACGGGCGTGTTGCTGACGTCAAGCCAGCGCAAACAAACCCAACTTTGTGACCCTGCAGCCTCCCTGTTTTTGTATCGGTGGCGCGCAAACTTCAAGGCCTTTCGCTGGACGGTGGCCTTCTCTTTGGCCGCGTGGCATGTTTTTAGCAGACTGCTGAGTGTGCGTGTGGTGGTGCGTGTGATCGGATGATGTATTACTTCGAAGAAAGTTGCTAAATCGAAAAATCGTGCACAATTTTCCACAACAAGAGTCTTCCTCCGCTCTTAAATCTGGATTTTTGTCCTTGTTGTGGGTTCTGGCGAGACGGTCAGGAGCGATCATCAGAACGATGGCTTAAATCAAAATCTGTTCCCTTAATTCGTATTTTTTTTGAGTCTGAAACTGTCAAAAATGCAAGGGATCCCTCCGGGAGTGGGCTTATGAGAGCACATTCATGTCATCAAAAGGGAGAAGCTGCAAAATTGCTAAGTACGGAGTAGGAAGCAGGACCAACCCATTGCAGGTGGCGACCAGCTCCCAGTTTTGACGTTTCCCAAGCTCAGCAGCTCACACAGCTGGCGTGCTTCGACTCGAAGAGTCCAGCGAACGTCAACGAACCACACGAACAATTTATGAACCTGTTCACTTTTTCAATGTACTGTATTGATGTTGTACACTTTGCAACGTGGGACACAACTACTGTGCTGTGGTCTTATTCCAAGTTGGTATTGGTGACTGCTGAAGGCGTGCTCCTCGAAGGAGACTCTAGAGTGGTCGTGATCCCCAGGTTGGTATGCGCGTTTTCGTACTATCAGAGCCGTGACATGTGATGTGTAGGTACTCGATTTGATTCGCCGGGTTGGAGGAACGAAGGGAGGAAATGCCCACGAGCTGGCCAGCGGGGGATCCGTACATTCCCCTCCAGGAGAACTACCCCTCGGACTCCTTTACATGCGAAGAAAAAGTGGAACAGCAGCATTTTGCCGACCAAATTGACTGCGTGACGTACGCAATCACACGAACACCAACAGGATCGACGCAACATCCATGGCTTTCGATGAAAATGGAGACGAGCCCATCCATGGAACGTTGCTACTTTCATTCTCCATTTGCACCCTCGCGTCTCTAAACAAATCGTACCCATCGCACGTATTGTGTGGGGCCAAAACTATCGATGCAGGCCCAGGCCACGTTGGATGTTGCACCGGAGACCTTCAAGATGGCCCTCTACACGCCCCCTCAGCTGGCAATGATGGCGGTGGATTATGTTCACGCGACCACAGGAATGCCCTACTGGATGACCATCATAGCCATCACCGTGGGGATCAGGACAGCGATCCTGCCGATCGGACTTCTCGCTGCTAGGAATGGGGCGAGGACGGCGGCAATGAAACCGGAAATGGATGCACTCCAAGCGGCCATCAAGGTAACACACCGCTTTTGTTTATCCTCGCCGCATGGTAAGCGGGAATGCGATCTCCTTTGCCACCCAATTTCAAGGTCTTGGCCCCAATGTGACTCCATTTGTTCCCTCCAGCGAGTCCTCCACATGGTCTGTGCGCCTACCGTTTCTGGATCTTTCTATAGAATGCAGATGCGACAACTGGATTAATTTATCTTCTGACGCAACGAGCCAGGCGCATACCGCGGGCATCGCAGTTGGCTTTCCTGAGCCTCGCTCTCACCGAGAAAGGAATTCCAGCCTTCAATGTTTTTCGCGGCGCTGCAGTGGTTATGTCGGGCCTCCTTCGATTCGCACTCGGCATATTAGGAAAAAAAAAAAATGCAGAAATATACCCACAGCCGAACGGGATGCGATGGAGTCTTTTCAGTTAGTGGAGGAATACTACGCGAAGCAGACGTCACAGGTACGTGGTGACAATACCGAACCGGCTGCTGTACCTATGTTCACACTTGTACACTCTTTGGCTCGCCATAAATCCGCGGTCTCTCCCACTGGAGGTCTTCGTGCGGCATCGTTTGCCTATCGATACCCCACCAAACCCGGCACCTCAGTTTGATTTTGCCTCTATCTGCTTCGCACGAATGTCGACCGGTCGAACAGATCCCGTTGAAGTTGTTCACTGATTTTGTCCATCACGTACATCTGTGTTTTCTACGGCACAAGCCGCCCTCAAAATACTATGGTACGGCAACGACCTAGTCGCTTGTCAATCAGGACCGAACCGGGGGCGAGATTCCATGCACTTGTCAATTGGGCTGACTTCAAGTCTTCGTACAGTCACGCGAACGTTCGTTAACGGTGTGCCCAAACAATCCAGAAATCGTTCAAGTAAAAAAACACGGTCGATGAGGAGTAGGAACGGCTGGACCCTTTTTCTCACGATAGAACAAGACAAACACATACCAGGTATCTGGTAAACTACTATGATGTGACCCCGGCTGACGCGCCCAGAACAAATTAGATAACAAGAGATGAAAATGACGTCTAGCATATGTGGTAATATCTCGATTGGGTAGTCTTTTTGTGTGTGTATTAATGTTTCCTAATAAATGGGACGACACATGCGACACATTGACCGGTTCGCCCTGTGCGTGTGTGCGTGTGTGCCGCCTTTACCTCTCCTGGTGCATCAATTGGCGGAGCAGGGAGATCAGCAGTCGTCCCAACCAAGGAAAGCAGACCGCTATCGGCAGGAGACGAAGGCCCTGTTCCAGAAGCACAAGGCCAGTCTCGTGATGAACGCGGCGCTGCCCATCGTCCAGCTGCCCCTCTTCATTGGCTTCTTCCTTGGGCTTCGGAGAATGCCGGATGTGGTCCCTGAGTTTGCCACCGGCGGGGTTTTGTGGTTTCAGGTGCGTGCGCGCCAAGTTGCACCTCGGCTTCGACGTCATGTCCACAAGTCCGTTAACCCCCACCGCAGCTCGCCCCCCCCTTGTTCCCGTCGTGTACACATTATTCGGATGCCTCGCGTGGTATGTAGTGCCCATCCCTGGTCATGGAGCTGTGACGAATATCCCCCTATTCCCATGCGTGCAGGACCTCGGTGCGCCCGACCCGTACATGATTTTCCCGGTCATGACCGGGGTAATGATGATGGCGATGGCAGAACTTGGTGGCGAGGGGGGTGCTTTGGCCGGCAGTTCGGTGAAGATGAAGGCGGGCATGCGTGGGATGGCGTTGCTGGTCACACCGTTGACCATGTACGTGTCGACGGGCGTGTTTGTGTACTGGACGACGTCCAACTTTTACTCCATCCTGCAGACTCTGGCCTTCAAGGTGCGAGGAGGCGAGCTTGTATCGTCACGGAAAGGGACAGGAGAATTGAGGAAGGAGAATACGCCGCTTGAATTAATACTGTTTGCAGACCTCCAGTAGAAAACAGGCCCGTCGGGCCCTGATTCTATTCTACGCATCATCATCCTCGGCCGCACGTGTCGATCCCCTCTTTGCATCAGCCATATTGCCGTTACGAAACCATTGTCGTCCGGTCCATCAACGTAGTCCAACGTTTCTTCGCAGCAACCGAATCAAGCACTCGATGCACGAAACAGGCCCGCCCACGTCTCCTCCCCTCACGTACTGCTCTTTACCCTTCGCCGGTCCTGGAGCAGTCATCTGCAATCAAGAAGTTCTTCGACTTCCCGGACCTTCCACCGAACAAGCTGAAGAGAGACACGGCTGAGAAGGAAATCGGTTGGTTCGACGTCCTCGGCGGTGATCACCCCATCAAGGAATACAGAAAAATGCAAGATCAGCGGGAAGTGCAGGCCTGGTTCGTGGAAGGGGAGGGGGGGTGGACCCGCAAAGCGCACAACGCTAAACATGGAGAGGGCGGCAACGTCGCACGGGAGGGGGCGCCGTTTCACGCCCCGCCGTTGATGGCGGGCCCCGTGTCCGGGAAGGCGAAAACGACGTCGTTTGCTGCTTCTGCCGCTGCGGAGACACCGAAAGTAGTTTTGCGGTCAGTGCGACCAAAGCCCACGGGGAACAGGGGCAAAACTGCGGCACGAGGGCCGAGAAAAAACGGGGGCTAATCCCAAACGATTTGATCCGCAGGGATATCTGCGTGTGTGGTGGTTACGTGATGAAAGTTTACCGCGCTGTCGATAAGGATAACCCAGTCGGGCGGATGAGCGGTGGTCACACTCCAAGATGAAAGATTATTGGTTGGTGAGTTCTTACCGCGCAGGCAGTTCAAGATCGACGAGAGCCCTCACCGTCTCGCTGTGATGGTGCATGCCAACGTGCTTGGCAACAAACCACGGGCAGGTTTAGTACAGTACAGTATTTTTATTCCAGTATTTAACTGCGTACTAAAACGTCCAGTACAGTACAGTACCGAGAGCCGTGCTGCCAGTACAGTATATTCCAGTATCGAGAGCTGTACTGGAGATTGCAGTATTTTTATTCCAGTATTGAAAGCTGTACTAAAACGTCCAGTACAGTACAGTACCGAGCGCCGTGCTGCCAGTACAGTATATTCCAGTATCGAGAGCTGTACTGAAGAGTGCAGTATTTTTATTCCAGTATTGAAAGCTGTACT